TTTTGTTTATGCACACTTACAACAATTACGTCAACAGATGCTCTTCATTTCGCGATTTTTACAAAGGAATATCAAATAATCTTCTCAAAATATTTGTTCTTGTGTTTCTCTTTTAAACTTTTGATGAGCATATGAACATGAAAAATATAATCGATTATTTTTCACTTTATTAGTTTCTAATAACATATAAAAAGTGTAAAGATAAAATCACAAATAAACTTCAACATCGCTTAAATAAACACTGAAAAACGTGTATATTAAATGAAACACATGTGATACACCACCCATCGCATCGCATTCATCGTATCTTTAATATCAAGAAATCAAAATGACATCCGCTAACATCCGTTATGTTTTAAATGTTTAAATATCGTGATTTAATAGCTCTTTTATCCTTATATATTTTGTAAAATCTATGCAGGATGTTTCTATTCTATTCTGTATGGCATTTTTTTTAAAACCATCAAGAGTAGCTATTTAGAAATCATAAAAAAACAGAAATAGCGGAAATATTAAAAAAAGCATAAAGAAACTATTTTCGATGTAGGTGTGTTAAAGTAGTTAAAAAAATATTTAAATAGTGGTTGTGAACTTGGATAAAATGAGTAATTAATAGAATTTTAAATAATATAAGAAATGGGTCCCGGTGCATGTACGCATTTATGGCAATGAGGAGGTGGCCGCTCTTGCGAGGTCGGTGGCGATGATGGACTTTGTTGGACCCGAGCTTTTCTAGCTGTTGTCATATGAAGGCGTATGGGGCGAAACGAATGGACCGCCTCCAACAGTAGTGCTTGGATTGGGCGTGTGGAATGAGGAACAGCCCGGACTCTTTATCTCAGGTGTATCTCCCGGAAAGGCCCAACAGATGTTGGTATCAAGGAGGGTGGAAGTCAGGCTGTTGGTGAGCCTGCTCACTGGCCACTGCAAGCTTGGCTATCATCTGCACAAATTGGGACAACCTGGGGAACGTTTGTGTAGATTTTGCCATGATGAAGATGAGAAGGCTGAGCATACTATCTTCTTTTGTAAAGCACTGGCTAGGAGGCGATTGGTTTACTTGGGCGGATATGTGGTAGTATCCTCTTGTGGGAGGTGGCGCTTGGGCGAATCTGTAATTTTGTGGGAATTATAGGCCTCACTGGCGCTTTATAGGTGGCGGGATGTTACAATAAGTGTTTTAGGCTGCTGTAACCTGGTCTGAGGTTGATTCTGCAATATATTTTAATCTAATATAAAAGAGAGAGCGGGCTTACGTTTCGAGTTTTTTTTATAAAAAATTACTTCACTGGATATCAGTAAAATGTTATCTGCATAAAATTGGGAATGTGGCTTTGCCAGAATGGCGAGTTTAGAGTGGTTTAGTATTTGTAATGGTATTGAACCTCTACTGAAGCAAGAAGTGCTACTGTCGACATCAACTGAAATTATGAAGGCCCGAAGGTTCTCGTATCCCGTAATATTTCAACTTAAATTATACATAACAACCTAAATTATTTAAGAAAACATTCTGAAAGCAGCCATTAAACACTAAAACAAATTACATTACAATAACGATTTACATATTTAATGTAGCAAATTTTTAGTTTTATAACTCTATTAAGCCAGTTTACTTGTTTTTTTCCTATTTCATTCAACTTTTTATATTCATACCGTCACAAATATTATGAACAAACAAAAAAAAAATAATGGCCCAATCTAAGTTAAATTTAGCTTTTTTTTATTTAATTCAAATTGCCTTTCAGCATTTCAAAACTTTAATTTCAATCATAAGTTTTTTGATTTTTTTTTTCTTTAACATATTTAATACCTGTTATGATATGATATAAAAATAAAAATTGATGGGGCTTAAAATATTCTATATAGAAACTTTGATTATTTTCTCAATTCATGCAGAACCTACTATTAAAAATCTATCGACTATATAGAGAACAATAACAATAATAGTAATGTTTTGAATAAAATTGCACTAAAAAAACAAAAATACTGAAAATCAACAGAGAGAATCATAGAGACAACAGTATATAGAAGAAAAGGAAGCCAAAAGAACCAATGAAACCTTGGAATAAACAACTTGATAACTGAGATGCGCTGATAAAAAAAAAAACACAGCAGAAGAGAAAAAAAAAATTCGATTTTTTTTTTAATATATTATGAATGAATTTTTTTCCTCTGTGTTTCTCTTTTTTTCTCGAATTATTTTCCACCGTCTAATGTTAATAAAATAAAAGAGGAAAATTTTTCAGTTCATTGAAAAAATAAGTTTTTAAGCACTGGTACTTATTGGTGTAAGTGAAGACATTATAATTGAATAGAATATAATTCATAGGAGGGCAGATGTTTGTGAATTTTCGCTTCCTAATGACTTTTTGAAAAAATGCTTTCACGAAAACATTAACACACACATTGTTAGTGGTTTTTTGGATAGCTACATACGTACTCCATATTTAAACCTCCTCTTCTGTTATCAAGTGCTGGACGGCTTGTTAATTACTAAATTAAATAAACAGTAATAAGAAATTGAATGCCTTATGAACAATACCAAGTTCGCATTAGACAAAATATTTACTAAAATGCTTTAAAAAATGTCATTTTCGTAAATGTGTGTATTAATGTAGTAAGTGTAACCAGGCATAATCTTTTATATTTTTCATTTCTACCTATCCTTTTCCCTCTTGTTTTGTTCTTGTTTCATATTTTCTTTCTTCTCGCAAAGTTTCCTTGTACCATGAATGGTTGGTTGCTTAATGAACGGTATTGAAAAACTAAATTTTTTGGTTTTTTCTTCTTTCTTAATGCAATATTTACAATCGTACAAACATAATCGTAAATAAATAAATGTGTACTTACTTACATATTAATAATATCTCAAATTGAAGTACGAAGTGGCATCTCGAATTGTTGCTCTTTTTATACAAAAGCATATTTATAGGGATTCCAATACACTATTGATAAGCTCATTTTTTTATTTAATAGCAGCAGCGCAACTAATAATATAGACATTTTACATAAATGTTTAAACGGTATATTGAACTTGTATTGATAAAATGAGAATGAGTTTTTCCTTTTTTACATATCATTTTTACTGATATGAAAAATGAGGTTAACGCAACAACAAACAACAAATGAGAAACCAATTCTAAAGAAGCTGTGTGTAGAGAACCCATTATAAAGGATGAATAGTGATATGAATTCATAACTTTGTTATAAAAATAAGAAAAACAGAAAGTGTGATATTCAATAGAAGGAGATTTCAAATTAAAGAAGGGGGTATAAAGCATAAGGACTTTCATTTTGTTATTATATTTGATACTCTCAACAACAAAGATATCAAAATTAAAGAAAAGAAGAACATACGAGTAAAAGAGAACTAAAATAAAAAGTAATAATAATAAATTTTTATTACCGGGTTTTAAAGATTTAAGCATATGCATAACAACTACACACTACCTATCAAAAACATAAAATGCATGCACATATGTGTACACACATGTATTTGGCATAATGATGAATCAATTTTCTCCATAAAAAAATATTTATATTTTGATTAAATTTTATATTCCATTGAGAATGAAAGAAAAAGGGGTACATACAACAAACATAAGTTATAAATTCGCTATAATTAACATTTTATATGTAAGCATATTTGAACTTGCTAAAGAAGATATTTTCAATGTTAGCTCAATAACCAAACAGCACCGATTGCATACTTGTAAGATTTATTAGCCTTCAAAAAGGGTTAATTTGTTGGTAGTACTACAAACATATTTAAACTTTACAATTTTTTAGTATTTTCAAGGTGAATTCTTTCAATACCTTGTGATTTGTAAATTTTTTTATGTATCGGAATAATTAATAAACGATTTAATTAAATTTTTGTCATTTTAATGAATTAAACACGCGTATATGTAAAGCAATAAAACAAAATTTGAATTGAAATTCTCGAATCTCAGTACCGACCTTACAGAAGCCAGCATGCGTTAGCACAGCGTACGCAGAAAAATGTTGAAATTGCCATGCCAGAAAGCGTAAGCATCGTATTAACAGAGAAATGTCGAAATTAACAGATGGAATTAAACAAATTATTTTGGCTCTGCATAAGCAAGGACTACGATAAAATGGGAAAAAGATTAATAGAGGAAAAATTTCTATTGCAAATTTATTTAAAATATTTATTGTAGGGAACAAATTTTTAGCTTTACGTGGATTACATCACTTTATGAAAACTAAAAACCGGGCTTTAGGTCGAACAAGTAATTTAAAAAATCAGCTGTTACAGTAAATAGACAAAGGTCTTAGATCACGTCATTCTATTCAAAAGGTAGTTTCCGGGCCTTCCAGTAAAATGTGAGATTAAAATCGGCCAAAGATCATTTAAATCGATCTGATGATATGTGAGATAATATGTGATAAATGAATATAAATTCATTGTGGCGATGGACGGCTAATGGCACGTGTGATTAAGAACAAACTGCATTTAAAAAGTACATAATGAAACTGAAGATATAAGAGTTAATATTATTCTCGGAGAAGGGCTGGCTTTATTATAACATCCCATTTTTATTTTTAACAACACAATTTGCGAGCAATATTGCAAATTTACACCGTGACTCTTTCGGCTTAACAATAATAACAATATTTCAAAGAGTCCCGATTTTAATAAAACATTACTGTATTCTCTTACTCTCTACTATTGTATTGGAATACGTCTCGAATATTCCGAATGAATAATAAAAGAACACTTTTATTCAGAGTATTTGTAATTAAAGCATCCCAAGGGATTTTTTTTAAAATGTCAAATTTTTTTCAACTTGTCAACATACATACTTAAAATGAAGAATCACTCAAAAATTAAATAGCTTGCTATCTGTCAAATAAGATGAAAAGTAAAAAACCTACATAAATATTAATTTTCTTAATTGATAATATTTTAAAATCACATGAATATTTTAAAAATAAAATTTATTAATTGCAATTTTATTCTTTTTTTTTGTTTTCAGGTGTTTAAGCCGAAATGTTTTGAATTCAACAAAAAGTGTGCAATATTTTTGATTAACGGCAATATAACAACAGTTGGTATTGTCAAAGTGAGAAGTGAAATTCTTTCAGTTTTTTTTTTATTAAAAATTTAATTAGAGAAGAATAAAAAAAAAAAATATTATAAAATAAATATTTTCGCATATTCACAACCACATACACGAATATAAAATTATAATGAAGCATTTAACATAAAAAAAAAATATTTAATTTTTATTATCAGTTTTGATTTTCTGATATTTTTTGGATAAAAAATATTAAAATCATTAATACAACATTAAAAAACCAAACAAAAAAGGATTAAAAATTTTTTAATAAAATGAAATCAGTTAAATTCTTGTAAGTATACCCGTACATTATTAAAAGCAATTAATTAAAAATTTTTTTTTAATTTTTTTTAATAAAAAACATTTTTTTATTTAATTGGGAATAAAATATTTCGAAATTAAAGCATGAAAAATCCATAATTTATTTATACAGGGTCGTCTAGTTCAAATTTTAAAGCTCTCGGGAAGTGATCTGTTTGATTTTTTTAGAAAAGAAATCGTATAAGTGTGGAGAGAGAGGGGATGAATTCGGACGCCTAGGGGTAGTTTTAGAGGGTTGAACAAAATCTGGTTGAAAAATTCTGTTCGGGGAATTACTATCCATTATAGCTTCGAAACTGTTGAAGCTACAACCATGAATTGTTCAGAAGTTTTCTTCTCAATTGACAGATCTACGCAACGGTATGCCAATGGTTGGTGCCAGTGCTACCCTTTTCAAATAATAGCTGCACAAACAAAAAATTTTTAGTTGAAAAACTGAAATTTTTTTAAAAAACGCTAATTATCTCAGAAAAGTCTGCTCCTTTTTTCTGTATGTGTTACATCACCCTCTACAACTTGGCTATGCATAATTTCCATGGAACGCGTGCCGTTTTCCAGGCAAAGTGATAATTTTTGTAAGTAATTTTTCTATACCTGAATGAATATGTGCTCTAAAGAGATATCCAAGACTCAAACCTTTACTTTTACCGTATTTCTATTTAGTAGACCGGAAACCCTGTATAAAGGTTAACGATAAAGGTAAAATTTGAAAAAGTTTATCAGACATGAAAAAAATTATAAAAATTATCAACCGAATCTGGTAATTATTACTTATAAAATTAATTTATTATAGTTGCTACTGCAATTCATAATAAAATGTAAAGAGAAATTTCGCGTATTTGATTACCGTTAATTATAAACGAATAGTTACCGTTAATTATAATAGAACAAAGTATAGCTCTAATAGCTCAATTTTATTCGATTGATTTTTAATGTAATTTTATACATTTTTAATGAGTTAACTAAGTTCAATATTACAATTCAACTGTTATGACTGTTACAAGCGCATCTAAGAATAATAACAATAATATTTGTATGTCTAACTGTATGAAATGTTATAATAGCGTCGGGATTTAATCGGAAAATCTATTATATACTCTTTTGTTTATTAATTTGCATTTCACTCACATTTCCTTAAGGATTTAATTGTTTTTGGAAAAACTCTAATATAACGTTACGATTCTCTTCGAATTAAATTCAAAGTATCAAAAATTATTTTAGTCCTCAATCAGAACTTTTCTGTAATACGCATATAAAAGAAGTGTTGGAAAAATGAGAAGAGAAAACAGAAAAAAATCATTCGTAATTGGAAATCCTTATAGAACAGTCGCATTCCTCTAATCCTTCATTTCTAATTCTATTATAGAAACTAAACAACACAATTTTGTATAACTTTATATTCTGGTATTTTACATGACATAAAACATGTTTTTCCCATTTGTACCATGTTAGTGAGTTGAAAAGGTAAATTAATGTGCATGTATTTTTAATCTGAACTAAATTTTGAAAATTTCATTTCTACTATATTGTTTGTAAATTTACTTGGAATTGGAAAATTTCATATGAATTCTTTGTATCCCGAAAAATGGAAAATGTATATGTATGTGATAAAGAAAATCTTTCTAAGTAAGAAATTTAAATTTTTTTATCCGCAGTGGGATTGAAATAAAATCCCATATTGTTTCTTCATTCTTATTCCAAATATTCAGAACTACTTATATTCTTTCCATTCCAAGTTGCCGTTCAAGTCCTACAGGAAAAATTGCGTTCAATATTTCGAATTTAAATTAAAAAGAAGAAAAATGCAACTTTTTGAAAAGCCAAACCCAATATGAACGGATATTGAATTGATTTTGAACAAAAATTTCAAAAAAATATGAACCCCTGACCGTATACTATTTCCAACTTTTTAATATACGGTCTACTGCCTAAACGGTCGATTCTTCTGCCTAGGGCTAAGTGATGGGCTACTACTCTTAAGTAAATAAAAATATTTTCCTATATATCAGGACCGGTTTTACTTATTTGGCGCCCCACAAGGTTTCTAAAAAGTGCACTCCTCTACTTGTTATTAATATAAATACATATACTCACTTTCCATACGTAGTAGATCCGACGGTGCTTTGTATATATCTTAAGTAGATAACTTTTGTCCTACCATAGTTTTACACCTCAACATTTTCAAGAAAATAAATTTCAGAATCACACTTAATAAAAAAAACAAAATCACTTGTTTCCATTCACAATAGTGACCTTTTGAAATGAACTTTCCAATGAAAACTCATTTACTATTCCTTTAGAAAAAAAAATTAAAAATTTTTTATTTTGAAAAAATTCAATTATTGTCCGCATCTTTTCCAAGAAATGTGTAATATCCAAAGAAATAGCCATATTTCAAAGGAAGAATTTCAATTGAAATTTGAGATCTTATTAATTTTTTTTTTAGTATTTTGATTTTTTCCTTTTATTTCCAATAAAATTTTGACATTTTACTCTTAACCTACCTAAATTGTATGATTAAGAAAATAGGTAAACATTAAGAGATTTCACACTTTTGTTGTCAAATATGACAATTAAAATTTAATAAACAATTAATTGCTAGAAATGGAAAATAAAAATGAAATAAAACCCCGTGTTTCTTAATGGAGAAGGAAAATATTAAGGAATTGAATCTTTTAAAAAGATTCAATTAAATTTTTCCACATGCTCGTCATTTACTTCCAATTATGACGATAATATCTTGATCTCTGAACTTCTCCATACCATAATTAATGTTTTACTTAAATATCCACAGTAAAGAAAGTTCATAAGTAGCACATAAGTTTCAAAGTTCTAATACTAAAAACAACAACAAACCCAAGAAAAAACAAAGTAATTAAATGTTGTTGACAATCAAATTTTATAATTTTTGTTTCATATCTTTTCCTGTATATGGCGCTTTTCCAATTCCAAAACCGAACAAAATATCAATGAAATGTCACAGATGTCAATTTTTCCTTTTTACATTCCGTTTTATGTTTATATTTTGGACTTTATTTTATATACAACACCACACATACATACATACATAAAATGTCTTTCTAATGCAGTTATTGAAAGACGGAAATTTATAACTTTTGTTTTAAATTTTTTATTTTTTTTTTAATTTTATTCTGTTTTCATATCGTACATGGAACAACAGATGGTCACTTCTTGTTTTTCTATATTTTAATGCTTAACATTTTTATATTGTAGTGATGAGATTTAAAATGAAAACAAGTAGATAAATTCGAGCCAAAAGAAAAAAAATTATTGTGTTTCAATCACATGTAAAAGGATTAAAAATTCATTTTGGAAATCTTGAATAGGAAAAATTTTCAGCCATCGAAATTCTTAAATTTATTGAAATGAAATTTAGAAAATAATTGGCGCAATCATAAATTAATATTGGACTTTAAGTTTTAAATTTCAAAATTTTTTGTACTAAATTATTAAGAAATTATTGTTTTGCTAACACTATATACAAACTCGAATTGTATGTGAAGTCTTATGTTACCAATCACACTAAGCTCTCAATTCACTATACTCTAATGAATCACTAAACTCTAATTAATTACACTATGATCTAATTAATCTTGTTTCCTGATTTGACACCAAAGTATAATTCAATACAATTACACACATTTATATACTTAATGAATTTAAATACACTGACAAGTTGAACACAATTTGTGCCGTTTCGTGAAATAAAATTTCGATTTGCATTTTATAAAATTCTTGTGTGTCTTAAAGTTTTCGTTCACTTATTCACGTTTGACAACTTTAATCGTGTTTAAGCCTTTTTTGAAATTACATAATATTTTCTAGTGTTGCCGCTTTAGTAAATAAAGGAGCCATGAATATTCAATAGATTGCTTAAACACGAAATTCAATGTCAAATCCTTAATACCTTTCAGATTTCATTTAGTCATTTTTTACTCACGTACACAACACAATTACTATTTAATTCACAAATAACCCACAATTTCTCTCAACTATCCTCAACTACTTTCTCAACTACTGGCTTCTATTCTTTTCTCGTTAAAGATTTCTTGTATTCATCACATATTGTGTTCAGAGAATAAAAACTTTAATGTAAAACCTTAAGTCCTTTAAATATAGATTACAAAAGTATCATAGTTTTGAGGTAAAATCTCTAAAGTATAAAAACAAATCTAAATTTATACCTGATAAAATTCATTCCCAAATCACACCATCAGAATCCTATTATAAACGAATAAGAAAACTTATGAATATTTTTTTTTTTGTTTTCCTTCTCCTCTCTTCTACTACAATCTGATAACAATGTAAAAGAGTGTAACAGAAAATAAGAAAATTAAATTCCCAAAATGAAAACATTTCTTTTTTCTCATTTTAACTTATTATTTTTGCTGATTTTCAAAAAAAAAAAAAAAAACCAAAACGGAAGAACAAGAAAAAATTCAATATTTTTCTGTTGTTCATAACATTCAAAAAAATCTTCCAATTCTTCTTCCTTCATTTGTTTTTTTTTATTTATTTATAAATTTAAGAAGGCGACAAAGAATTATTTTCGAGAAGCTCACTTTCTTCTCTCACACTCTCTCTCACACACAAAAAAAAAAAATAAAAAACAATTTTAACTTTTATAAAACTTAACGGTGCATTAAAAAATAAATAATCCTCAAAGGACATTACAAATAGTAGGTTTTTTTTTTTATTTAGAAAAAAAATACGAAATTAATTTTCGAAAAAAGTGTCGATATTAAATTGCATTTTAAAAGGGGAAAGACACACACAAACACTTTCCAATATAAAAAATAAAAGTAAAAAAAACAAAAAAAAATGTCTTATTACCGTATCAAGGGAATTTCGTCCTTTTTACTCTTCTGCTACTACCATTTTCCAGTACAATATACGCTCTTAGGAGACGAACAGAAGAAGAAAATTTTGGGGAAAAATAAAATTTATTTA